AACTACTCTTCTCATTAAACTCCCACTCAAGAGACCATGGCTCACACACAGTCTAACTACCAAGCTCAGTAACTTTTTTCAAATTAATTTGGACAAGGCCTAAGGCTGTGAAGCTGCTATTCTTGAATGATGAGGATGCGCCAAAGAAGATACGAATGCTATCATCCACGTATACACCTCAACCTGTTCTTCCATCAAGTTAACATGACATAAGCTAAACTAATACACTTTGCCAGTGTAACATGTATGAACTCCTTCAATACTAAACTAGCTTTATACTATTTTAACATTAGCATAATTAAAGGTAGTCTCTTCAATCAATTCCATTCAATCAATTTGAGACTCAACAGAGTCTCATATTCTGACCATAATTCCATTATGAAAACACTCTCCGTGTTGCAATAACATGCATGAATAACATCTGTTGCATGTTTGTTCCACCTGACACGTGAAACAATCCTGCACCTTCAAGTGCTAGACATACAGAAAAGGTAAGGACAAGGAAACAAAAGCAAGGGATGAGATGCTGCGATCAATCACAGTTCTGAGATTTTCTTACATACTCTTGGGGCAGATCCCAAGTAGTACTCTGCATTCACCATCCTAATTGCCCCAGTGGTGCTAGACCCACGGCTGTAGTCTCCCCTCTGAAGCATTAACTACTGTGTTTTGCTGGAAGCACTGTCTCATCAACACACCTTAAGTCTTCCGGGAACAAGACAGGAGAACTGTAACATTTTAACGGTTGGCATTACAGGTCTGGTCTACACTTGGGGCCATTGGTTAAAAGATGAGATTTTTTTTTTTTCTTATGGTTAAACACAGTACACTAGCAAAAGATCTCTATGGCTACTAAAAACAAGTTACTAGCATAACTTATTTTGCTCAAATTGATGGAGGTTTCGTTTGGATTTTTTTTAATGCACTATTGTTGCAAAAGGAACAATTTTACCAGTCTCTGGCAAGAAATCCTATGGTATAATTACAACAGCAAACACTATTAAGTGCTAGAAGTACACAGATTTCCATCAGCAAACCTCTCCTAGATGTACATCTACTTACAGAAAGCTTGAAAGTCTAAAGAAAAAAAGTAAGCCTGTATATTTAGAATTAGGTAATGGCCACGCTTATGCTGCTTTTCAAAGTCATAACTAAGTTCCTGCGTTTCTGAATTTTCACATCACATTTCTTTCTCTCTTCAAGACTCGATTTCAAAACATGGAAAGCAGATAAATTTTTATGAAAACCAAAAATATGACAGAAGAATCCACATCTAAAACTCCTAATACAGGTGATGGTACAAGGAAGTGAACAGATGATTGGAGCAAAGAACAGAAACAGAGCAAAATTTTTTTACGGGATGAAAAGATGGAGGTCACAAGCAAGTAATTGCTGGAATAGGCGAGACAAATAGAAAACTTGACAAAGTTCGCCAAGCGTTCGGGAAGCAGCAGCCAGTCCCGCCACAGAACACAGTCCGTAAAAAACGGGCAAAGCCAGAAGTTTCAAAAAATATGACAGAAACAAACAAAGCCCAACAAAACAGAAGACAGAGAACAAGGAGAAGTAACAGTGGAGTCACTCATGAAGATGTAAATGAGTTCGTGCAGCCCTGCACGTAAAGACAGAGCACTTAAATTTCCAGCCGCTCACAGCACCTTCCCTTCAAAGACTGCTAGTCAGCGAGCCCATATGCCGAGTAAGGGCAACGCACCTCTGCCCCCGCCGATACGACGCCTTCCGATAAAAGCCCGTCATAAGCTCCCTAAGAGACAGGGACACCTCAAGGAGGCATCGGGCACGGCACATCAAGCGTACCGTAGTCCCCACAGGTATTTTTCTAGCTCGCTGGCAGGACAGGGCAGGGCAGAGGCTACCTCTCCCCCGGAGACACCCGGGCAGCCTAAGCAGGCAGCCCTCCCCG